CAGTCTCGGGCCCCTGACACTTATTGTATGGTCTCTTAACGTGCTAGTGACACCCCTGCTTTTCATTGGGGGGATGGTGCATCGTCTGCCAAGTCTTTGCTTTCGTAGTGGGTGATTTTCGTGTGCAAGTTCGGTACTAGTCCCTCTAGGATTTTCCAGGTGTATATAATCATGTATCTCTCCCTCCTGCGTTCCAGGGAATACAGGTTTAGGAACCTCAAGCGCTCCCAATAATTGAGGTGTTTTATCTCCGTTATGCGCGCCGTGAAAGTTCTCTGTACATTTTCTAGGTCGGCAATTTCACCTGCCTTGAAAGGTGCTGTTAGTGTGCAGCAATATTCCAGCCTAGATAGAACAAGTGACCTGAAGAGTGTCATCATGGGCTTGGCCTCCCTAGTTTTGAAGGTTCTCATTATCCATCCTGTCATTTTTCTAGCAGATGCGATTGATACAATGTTATGGTCCTTGAAGGTGAGATCCTCCGACATGATCACTCCCAGGTCTTTGACGTTGGTGTTTCGCTCTATTTTGTGGCCAGAATTTGTTTTGTACTCTGATGAAGATTTAATTTCCTCATGTTTACCATATCTGAGTAATTGAAATTTCTCATCGTTGAACTTCATATTGTTTTCTGCAGCCCACTGAAAGATTTGGTTGATGTCTGCCTGGAGCTTTGCAGTGTCTGCAATGGAAGACACTGTCATGCAGATTCGGGTGTCATCTGCAAAGGAAGACACGGTGCTGTGGCTGACATCCTTGTCTATGTCGGATATAAGGATGAGGAACAAGATGGGAGCGAGTACTGTGCCTTGTGGAACAGAGCTTTTCACCGTAGCTGCCTCGGACTTTACTCTGTTGACGACTACTCTCTGTGTTCTGTTTAGTGAGGAAATTATAGATCCATCGACCGACTTTTCCTGTTATTCCTTTAGCACGCATTTTGTGCGCTATTACGCCATGGTCACACTTGTCGAAGGCTTTTGCAAAGTCTGTATATATTACATCTGCATTCTTTTTGTCTTCTAGTGCATTTAGGACCTTGTCGTAGTGGTCCAATAGTTGAGACAGACAGGAGCGACCTGTTCTAAACCCATGTTGCCCTGGGTTGTGTAACTGATGGGTTTCTAGATGCGTGGTGATCTTGCTTCTTAGGACCCTTTCAAAGGTTTTTATGATATGGGATGTTAGTGCTATTGGTCTGTAGTTCTTTGCTGTTGCTTTACTGCCCCTTTGTGGAGTGGGGCTATGTCTGTTGTTTTTAGTAACTGTGGGACGACCCCCGTGTCCATGCTCCCTCTCCATAGGATGGAAAAGGCTCGTGATAGGGGCTTCTTGCAGTTCTTGATGAACACAGAGTTCCATGAGTCTGGCCCTGGGGCAGAGTGCATGGGCATGTCATTTATCGCCTGTTCGAAGTCATTTGGCGTCAGGATAACATCGGATAGGCTTGTGTTAATCAAATTTTGTGGCTCTCTCATAAAAAATTCATTTTGATCTTCGACTCTCAGTCTGGTTAGCGGCTTGCTAAAAACTGAGTCATATTGGGACTTGAGTAGCTCACTCATTTCCTTGTTGTCATCTGTGTAGGGCCCATCTTGTTTAAGTAGGGGCCCAATACTGGACGTTGTTCTCGATTTTGATTTGGCATAGGAGAAGAATACTTTGGGTTTCTTTCGATTTCATTTATGGCTTTTAGTTCTTCCCGCGATTCCTGACTCCTAAAGGATTCTTTTAGCTTAAGTTCGATGCTTGCTATTTCTCTGACCAGTGTCTCCCTACGCATTTCAGATATATTGACCTCTTTTAGCCGCTCTGTTATTCTTTTCCGTCGCCTGTAAAGGGAGCGCCTGTCTCTTTCTGTTTTACATCTACTCCTCCTTTTTCTTAGAGGAATAAGCCTTGTGCATACATCGAGTGCTACCGAGTTAATCTGTTCTAGGCATAAGTTGGGGTCTGTGTTGCTTAGTATATCTTCCCAGCTTATATCGGTTAGGACTTGGTTTACTTGGGTCCCACTTTATGTTTTTGTTATTGAAGTTGAATTTGGTGAATGCTCCCTCGTGACTAATCTCATTATGTCGGTCTGGGGCTCCGCGCATACATGACTGAACCTCAATTATGTTGTGATCTGAGTATATTGTTTTTGATATGGTGATATTTCTTATCAGATCATCATTGTTAGTGAAGATGAGGTCTAGTGTATTCTCCAGTCTAGTAGGCTCTATTATTTGCTGGTTTAAATTGAATTTTGTGCAGAGATTTAAAAGCTCGCGTGAGTGTGAGTTTTCATCAGAGCTGCCTCCTGGTGTTATTACTGCAACAATATTATTTGCTATATTCCTCCATTTTAGGTGCCTTAAGTTGAAATCCCCCAGGAGCAAGATGTTGGGTGCAGGAGCTGGAAGGTTTTCCAGACAGTGGTCAATTTTTAACAGCTGTTCCTGGAATTGCTGGGATGTTGCATCCGGAGGCTTGTAGACTATCACAATGACTAGGTTTTGGTTCTCGACCTTTACTGCTAAAACTTCCACTACATCATTTGAGGCATTTAGCAGTTCTGTGCAAACAAGTGACTCTGCAATGTACAGGCCAACCCCCCCCTTTTGCCTGTTCACTCTGTCACATCTGTATAGGTTGTAACCTGGGATCCATATTTCATTGTCCAAGTGATCCTTTATGTGGGTCTCAGTGAAAGCCGCGAACATTGCCTTTGCCTCTGCAAGCAGTCCACAGATGAAAGGTATTTTGTTGTTTGTTGCTGGCTTTAGACCCTGTATATTTGCAAAGAAGAATGTTATCGGACTGGTGGTATTGTTGGTACTGGGGGGGGATTTTTTTTCCGGCATTAGTATCTGTATCTGTTGGTTTGGAGTGGAGGCCATCGACTGTGGTTCCACTCCAGGAATGACTGGATTTGGTGTACGATTTCTGCCATTTCCTGCCAGTTTTTTTTCCTTCCTGGCACTAAAAAACCTCTCCCTCTTGAGTGGCTGTGGCTACCAGGTTTTCCCATGGCCTGGATGTTTTGTATCTTTTTGTCCCCTTTAGATGGTATGCCTGGCAATTTAAGTTATAGCACAGTCTTTCCTGTACTGAAGAGGTACACAGTTCAGGGTGAAAAAGCTTACAGGAAGGGAGTTTGCATTTTCCTGTTGTCATATGGGCATGGCATTTCCTAGGGTGGTCATAGTTGCACGTCCCATCTGTTTTTCCAGATTTCCCATGCCAGCAGATACCGAGTGCATAGTATGTGCACAGGCTTGGTTTCCGTTTGCCTTGGGTTTCTGTGACTGTATTCCCTGTTGGTGCATGTTTCCCTGTCTTTCTTCTATCCTCCCTAGCACCAACAATGGAGCTCCCACCATTTGTTTTTGGTAATATATCCTCACTATTGCTTACGATGACGTTTTGGTTTGACTTGGACCATTTATGTGAGGGTTATTTATGTTTAGTTCCAGTCACGGTATTGTGCCTTTTTTTGTTATTTATGAGAGTCTGTGGTTTGATTCCAGAATGGGTGGCAATGTTTGATGTGTTTTCTTACACCTGCTGCCCCTGTTCACCTAGTAGTAGGTGCCTGGATGTTAGTTGACTTGTGGGTCACATCTCATGGGTGGTAGTATATATCTTAAATAGGGATGAGCTCTGAAATGAGCTGGGGCAGGATAACAACTCTTAGGCTGTAAAACTGATGTGTAAAAAAAAAAAGCATGGCAAGCAGGTGGTGTGGGACTACACATCTGCATTTACAATGGCTAACACCAGTATCATGTACGTTGGTCGAGATCAAATGTTTGTTACATACATCTCAAGGACCCCAGTGGAAATAAGTCACTTTGGCTTTTTTGGGTTATCCTAGGCAATCTACACATATGCTGCTATGGATGATAATTTATGTAACTGTATTTATGTGTACCTGTGCCTGAATAAACTTTATTACTTACACATATATGTATAATTTTGGAGATATTATTTGTATTTCTATATATTCATGGGGAAGTGCCAAAGCTGAACTCAAAGGAAACTGGAGGCGCTTAAGTTTGATCTAAATAAGGGGAGGGTAACTCCAATTACTCGGATCAAGAGCCCTTCAGCATTAAGACGACCTCTGCCTTGAAGGCTAGATGTCTGAATAAAATTATTCTTGTATGAGTTAGTTAATCATTCTGTGTCATACTGATAAGGAAATAAGAATCTCAACAGAAATAAAGCATATTGTTTGACCTTCCTGGGTTATTAACCCCCGGAATTAATAATCCAAATAGTTTTCTGCTCCATGCTTTATAAATACACTAAATACTGCTAATGAAAACTTTGTTCCCTTTTAAATGTATGAGAAATTGGTCTACTCAGGTTTATGGTACATTATTATTATTATTATTATTATTATTATTATTATTCAGTTTCCTGAATTAAACCTGAATACATGTACCTTCCATCCCCTCCCCTACAGGCGCTGTATAATCCTACGGATTTAGCGCTTCCCCATGATTATTATTATAATTTTATCTTGTGTAGGCCTACAAGAGGGTTACCAGCACCATTCTTTTTCTAGTATTAATATTGTATTCCTTTTTTTCTAACATTGTAGTGAAATTTTGTCTGCAATATAATGGGTACCATCTAGTGCCTCATTCAATATCTGTATCTTATAATTAGTAAAGAATGTTCTATTCATAGCATAAGTTAGTTTGGATGCTGATTCATGGCATCGACTTTGGTGATGTTATCATATTATCTCAGATAAAATTGCGTAGGCGTTTACTACAGAATTCATTATAAAATAGATATCATTATTTTTATTATTACTAAATCACCCATTAACAGGTATTTTATTATTAAAACTAGCATATTCGGACAAACCTATTTCGCATTCTTCGTAAATAAAGTAAAGTGATTTATTCACTTCACAAAAATCCTCTGACGGTTTTGCTGATTCGCTATGCTTTATAGTAAACATCCGCTATATGACAGATTCACGTTTAATTTTGTTCTACAAAATGTTTCAAAGCTATCATAACATTATTACAACATTATTTAGCGAAGAGAGTGTTGAGAGAGTGTTTGGGTGGGAGCGTTGGACACGCCGCCGTTCAGTGTTTAAGCGATGCAACAAACGCGTTAGTTAATCAATGCAATGATGGCGAACCCTTATGGAATTTTTCCCACTATGCCCACAAATAGTAGTGCCACGCTGTTGTGTGCACAATGCAAAAAGTTCTTCACATACATGGACAGTGTGGTGATGTGTGATGGTGCGTGTAAGAGATGGTACCACACCAAGTGTGCTAAGATACCAGAGACTAAGTACCGCGTCATTCAGGACAAGGACGAGAACAGGACCTTGGGCCTAAAATGTGTCTGGACTTGTAAGGACTGTCGAGACCGCCCTGAGATGGGCAGAGATCCTGAGTTCGAGTCTTATGTTAGAGAGAAACTGGGAAAATTAGGCCAAGTTCTTGAATATTTGGTGACTAAAATCCAGGATATTGAAAACAGACAGAAGAGTCAGGAAGTTGAGTTTAATAAGGTACTGTATTGCATTAATTTTGTGTAAATGTCTGTCAGGAAGGGGGTTCAGTTTTTGAGGATTTCGGTCTAGCCATAGCTTAAGGTGGTTGTACCTTGCCTCACATAGGCCTAGGGTGCAGCACCAGTGAGCCACACTGACAAAACTATGTAGTGAATTAATACATTTAAAGAATGAATCGTATACATTTTAATAACACTAGTGATTTAATGCATTTTAAAAAATGCATTGTATACATTTTAGTAAAACTACATAGTGAATTAATACATTTAAAAAAAATAATGCATTGTATACATTTTAGTTTGAATTGAACTTCTATTTCTGAATAAGTTCAGGCTTGTTTGTGTAATTTTTTTTGGCATCATGTTAATTATGGATGTGAAATCTAGCACAGACCAGCTGGATTTAGAAAAGGTTAGAGCATATCAAGGTGACGGACACTATTTTGGTACAAATCAGTGGGAAAATTACTGTCCACAGCAGCTCACAACAATTCAATATCATCCACCTGGTAAGTCAAATTATATAATAAATAATTATGTCAGTAAAGGCTAAACACTACAGGAAGAATAAAGAATGATCTTAACATAGTGAATGTTGTGGAAAAGCGACTGGTTTTTAAAGAAATATGACAGTTTAATTCAAACTTTGAGTATACAGTGAAGGTGCAGTTCAGTGGAATGTGTGTTGGTGTTAATTAATTAGTGCAGTCGGTTCAGTTCATTGGTGCTGTATCCTGTCACCTTCAAATAGGTTCAAAGTAAACCCCAATTTCAGTGGTAATTCACTTCATCTGGCTCTTTTGGGGTTATTCTAGGTAATATACACATGTGTTACTATGTATGATAATTGTATTACCTGAATTTGTGTAACTCTACTTATGTGTACCTGTACTTAGATAAACTTACATACTTTGAAAAAATATTTACGTTTATGAATAATTACATATATGTTAATTGGCCAATTCATTGTTTAATAATTTGGATCATCATAAAAGAAGAATATTCTTACGTATTTCATCATACATAGTACATTTTGTGTTTATATATATATACGTATATATTAATTAATGTCAGTTACATTATTGTGTTATGAATATAATAATGATTCACTCTACAACCATTTCTCTCTTCACCTCTCCCCTATTCTCTTCCCCCTTTCTCCCCTCCCCTCGCCCCTATTCTCTTCCCCCTCTCTCCCCTCCCCTCTCCCCTTCCATCTCCCCCTCCATGTCTCCCCTCCCCCTGTCTTTCTCCTCTCACCCTTTCTCCCCCTCTTTCCCCTCTCTTCCCCTCTCCCCTTTCCTCCCAGCCCCTTCTTTCAACATCTTAAAGGGAAGAATATAACAAGTTGTGATAAAATAATTCCCAGAAGGTTGCTCAAACATACTGGAAACCACAGACAACAAAGACTTGACAAATTAGTAAGTAAACAAACTGATCAGATTGAAAAGCAGATTTGACATATTCACAGATAGCCATCTGGGAAAGAACATAATAGAAAATTGTTGCATGCAGTGTTGGCATGGTATCTGATCCTAAAAAGAAATTTGAACGAGTTAGAAAAAAATCCAGAGATGTACAAAACAGTTCAAAGAATTAAAAAATATGAAATGTGAAAAAGGCTAAAAAAAACATTGGTTGATAGGAAAGGCAGAGGCACGGTAATTACACAAGACTGTGAAAGAAGATGAATAATGTATAGTGAAAATTTCCATTACTAACAATTAGGACAACAGCAGACCATGGCTATAGGCTAAGGAAGAATGGATAGTAGAAAGTTCTTTTTTTTTTTTAACTCATTGGCTGTTCCCACTACAGCAGGGTTGCCCAAAGAAGAAAACGCATGCATTCACCATTATTCACTCAATTGCCGTCTTTCCAGAAGTGTGCCGACATCGCAATCAGATTTCCTTCCAACTGTAATATCCCCACCACTCAAAGATTGCAGTCACTGCTCACCTCACCTACAGGACTCAAGTCTAGCTAACCAGTTTCCCTGAATCCCTTCATAAAGTTACTTTGGTCACTCTCCAGCAGCACATCAAGTGTAAAACAGTGAATCGGTAAACTAGGCACATTCCAAACCCGAGCAACCCAACATATGTAAATGGTCTCTAAATTGTTTCTATCTAATTTAGTGTCAGAAAACAAATAAATCACGACTTTGCTGAAATATGTACTGGGTAGATAGTATGAGTAAATGAATGCAGACTCAAAGCCATGACTCTTCTATTATCCAGTCATAGGAGCATAAGACAGGAGACTGTAACTCTCAATGGTTCATGACTGACTGGATCGTCATCATCAGGTTCCTTTCCTAAGTGCAGTTTTTTGGTAAAATACTGGAGATACAACTTTTTTTTTTTTTTGTGCTTTAGTAGGATTGCTGGTTTTTTCTTTGTCTCATGAATCTGAAAGATGGCAGGCAAATATTACAAACTCCCACTGGCATCCATTTTACACTTTACTTTCACGTGTTTTTTTTTTTTATCATATTGCTGTAATGTCTCATACCTAAGTAGAGTGTTCTGTTCAAATCTGAACCTGGGTAAGACATATGAGCATATCTTACATCATTTTTTTTATTTTTCACTTCTTTTCAACACCTTCCTTTAAACCAGGAGGTAGGAGTAATTTAATGGAGAAAGTTTGCTACTGGGGATACAGAAATTACAGTATAGATAGATTGGTACTGGGGAATACATAGCTGCAGGGGTCTGCACTGTACTCTATCTGCTGGAGCAGACTATGTGGCTGTCATAAATGTAGAAGGTTAATTCTCCTGAGATATGTCACAAAGACTGTTTTACTTGACAGTTTTTCCTACATTCTGTAAAGCTTTCTGTATCAGTTGTTGTTGACTTCAGCAACAGCAAAGGCAATGCTATGGGAAAACCTGGCTGTGTGTGTAGCATTTGTCTCACAGTTAGTGGATAGAGGGTCAAGCCTCCTCCCATTCCTTGTTCTGAATGTCTCAAACAAGTGTAGTGCTTATTGTAATGAAATATAAAAAGAATGTAGTATTCATATGGGTCACATCTCTATGTCTATACCTTCTTTAGAATAATAAAATACATACTGTAATTCAGACGTGTTTCCCTCTCGAAAAACTAAAAGCTTGGGATAAAAACTTTCCCTTTTCTACTTTTCCCCCTTGGCTTGCTCTTCTAATTTATGAATGCTTTGTGGCACCCCAAAAACGCACCCATCCTCTTCAGCCTCATGAGATTTGCATGGCTGAAGGCCACACCCCCATGTGTATGATTTACATCTTTAAGGCTTGGGGAATCTGAATCACAATTGGCCCTTTATTTCTTGTGGACTGAAACTTCATTCCTTTGTTTTTTATATAAAAAGGGTGTCATCTATCAGGGGGGTTCCTTGATCCCATGTGGGGCTTTGACCCCAGAAATTGGATTGCCCTCCCCTTTTCCAAATTTAAACCCGACTGCCCCCTTTTCCCTGGGGCCTTTTTTAACCCCCCCGGGTTTAGTGCTGTCCCATAAATGAATAATAATAATAATGTATTAAAAGGTGCAATTATTTTAAAATATTTTCCAGCAATCTTTATTTGGTTGTCTTCTGGTGTTTTGGGACGAGTTTTGGGAAAGGGTTATTCAAATTAAAATTTCAAAGTTTATTCTCTATAAAAATTACAATGTTGATTTTCAGAATTTTGGTTTTTGGGTTTAATGTAATTAAAAAATGTTTACAGAGTGCCACTAACGCCCAGATGGTAGGATTTGGGCAGACTTGTTTAATTTTTTTTTTAAAAAATTAAAAAATTATGAGGTAAAATTGGGGTTATGGCTAAATGACTAAATACTGTTTTTGGTTTGCAACGTAAAGCTTTTGTTTTGGCACAGTACATTGTTTCAGTATTGGGATTTTGGTTCATTATTTTAGTTGAATTAATATTTTTGTTTAGGTCAAATGGGGTGAGTGAGTGTGTGTGAAACCACCAGGTGGGATTCGTGTAGTTAGTTGGGGGTTTATCGGGGTAAATGTTTTTAATGGTAGTTTTGAAGGTGATGAAAGTGTCGCAGTTTCTAGAGTTTCAGGGGGGTGTTCAGATTTTGGGGCCTTTTTGCAACATTGAATTTTTGTAAAGGGTTTAGTGGCGGGGGGAATGCGTAGAGATGTTTGTGTCGGGTGTTTGCCTGGGGGTTTCTGTCCAACAAAAGAAAGCGTTTTTTTTAGGTAAGTTTTAAATTGGATTTAAGGCCAGAGGGGGCACGGGGGGGGGGGGGGGGGGGGGGGGAGAAAGTTTAATCTATAAGAGGGGGGGGGGGGGGGGGGTGTTCCCAGGGAGGGGATTTAGTGATTATTTTACTGAGCTTTTTTTTGGGGTTATTTTTGGGTTTTAGGGTGTTGTGAGTTGATCCCCAAGCCAAATAGCATGGGTGGGGTATGGATAAATAATGAGTGGTATAGTGTGAGAAGGGCTTTTGCGGCACGTATACATTTTTGGGGAAGGACCCAACGTTTTTGGTTCTTTTTTGGGTTATGTGTTGGATATGGTGCTGAAATTCGATTGTGTCAAGGAAAGGCCAAAAAATTTGCCCTCATTATGTCTGGTAATTAGAGTGTTGTCGATCTAATTTTTTTTTGTGCATTGCCGCTACCAAACATAATATATAGGTTTGCCCTTTTAAAAAAGTAAGTTTATTGGTGTCCCCAAGTGTATTTTGATACTCCTTGTTAACAATGGGTTTTTAGGGGGGGCAAAAATTAGGGTGAGAGATGCATAAGTCGTGTCGTCAGAAAAGAAAGGGTTTCAGGTGTTGGGAACGTTTGGAAATCTTGATGTATAGAGGAAGAGCAGGGACCAAGGCACTTCCCTGCGGGAAATCCCGTATAAGTGGCCGTTTGTTGATGCGTTCTTTTTTGGTAAAAATACTGATACCCATTAGAAGGGAAAAATTTGAAAAAGAAACGCATGGGGCCCCTAACCCTAATGGTCAATTTGTGGAGTGGATTGTGTGGTCTACTGGAAAA